TTTGTTTTCAACAAACCATATGAGCACGCAGTAATCATTTACGACTACACAGTTCATGACGGAAACTCATGAGAGTGTAAATAAAGAATTTTTATTACCAATATCCTAAATACATATAGGAAGATATAAAACATCAAAGAGGTAGGTAAATAATATTTTATAAGGGGATACTTGGTATAAGTATCAGTATTTCTTTTTATGTCAAACTTTTTATCAAATGACATCATTATCATATTGTTTTTAAATGCGTAACTTAGTTCACTTATGTGTAATATAGGTTTAGAAAAACTATGAGTCGCATTATTTTGAGACTAAAATAAAATTATGAAATCAATAAATACTAGTAATAAAAGCACTGTTCTATTTCTAAAAACGGTAAAAGACAATAGTGCGTTATTAAGAGAAAATGCTATCCTTAATTGCTTCAAAATTGAATCTAAAATAACATGAACGTAAACTTTTATGCTGATGTTGTTTTAGATTCAATTTTCTTTGCGATCATTATTATTTTAAATCGATGGATCGATATTAAGTCGATCAAGAATGTAACTATGTCATGGTACTTCTGAGATAATAATTATGCCGAAGCTTTAACAAATTTGGCGTTCGATGAAATATAATTACATGTATATGCAGGAATTGTCTAGACCTTTTGCATTGCTAATACTGTCAGCCTGTAACTACAGCTTCATATAACACATTTATGGCGGAGACGTGTTTCTTTTTTTAATGTACATAATATATTATATGTGAACCTTGTAATTTGAAATTATATCAGACTTCCTTATTCCAATAATCTCGTTACGGAGCCGGCATTTATTTATTCCCTTACACTTCTTAAACCTTTGATGGTTTTCAGAATAAAGGTTAGGAGTGTTTTTGCTTGACATATGTTATTACTGTGCTGATTGATTGAATGAAAGTTTATCGTTAAATAATTTTGGATTTTTAACTGACTTTAAAAACACAAAAGAGGAGGTTATCAATTCGTGTGTATTTTTTTTTTGGTTTGTTTGTGACGCGATATCTCCGTCAATGGTGAACCGATTTTCAAAAATACTTTTGTAATCGAAAGGGCATGTTCCCGAGGTGGTCTCATTAACACCAATTCAGGATCTGATGATGGGATCCTAGAGAAATCGATAGAAACCCTCAATTTTACAGCCCCAACAACGTGTTTTAGCTTATTTATCTAGCTTTATAGAGAATTGTGTATAGCAGTCGTTACGTCATGTTGCTGAGCTGATAATGGAAGGATCCTTGACCTTTTGAAGTTAGAAAATAACTCTTTCAAAAATCTAATCATGTATTGACCTTGTTTTATTCTTTTAAGATATTTGTTAGGTGTTTGTTTGGTTACTGAGATATATGCACAAGAGAGTAATAAATGATTACAAAACATTTAGACAAAAAATAACATTTGTTACCTCAAAACTCTTTTTTTATTTAGAAGGGTATATTTCCCCTACTTTAACTACTTAATAAAGCATTCAAAATAATAATTTCATTGAAGATGTGCGTAACCCACTTTAGCTCGTTCAGCATGTTTTGCGCAGCATGAAGACTGTAGCAGCTGCCGCGCTAAATTATACCAAGCCTATCAAGCACCTATTTGGCTTAGCACCGACTTCAAACAGACTAGAAGAGACTATAGCTATTATAATGATACCTGTTATATTGAGGATACTTATTATAGTTTTCTTTACTTAGAGATGTAATTATTTTTTTATTTTTAGTGCTCTTTGTCAGTATTGTTTGAAGTCGGTTCAATTTTTTTTTAATGATTTATTTTTGTGATGGTTTTTTTTACATTGATTTTGTATTAGCGGTAGCATTATGGATAAAGCAACGGACCTGGTCCTGACGTCCTGGATGTTGCGGGCTCACCCCATAGATCTTACAGTCCATAACAAGCATTTAGCACAGCTGGAGATGATAACAAGAATACTAAACATTGTTTTGAGAATTTGTAGAAGCATGTAGTTAAAACTTATTTATTGGGAAGATCGTATAGATACATTAAATTCATATCAATGGATTAAATACAACCAGTGTAAGATATTCTCAAATATCAAGTAGTCCAATAGCTGATCTAGATTATGCTAATAATTCGTTATTTTATTTAAAGAGGTAACATATTACTGTTTACCTTAACTTATATACCTATTGTGTTATTAACCTTATTATGTCAAACCAAACTACAAATAGATCTTTGACATTATATAAAGGACTCATTATCTCTTAATAAGTTTAACTATGTAAATATTATTTGCTGACTAACAATTGACGGACTAACTATGATTTACAACTACTAATGAGCTATTATTTACAATTCCATTTTATTTATTTATAAAATACTAATACTAAGAAAAAACTATAAAGAAACTATAGGTGAACTAAAATGCGTTTATGAATCTATCTATTATATCTTACAAATAAGAAAGAAAGGATAGCTTTTAAATGATAGCTGTTGGTATCTATTTATAAACTCTCAAACATAACTTCTGTATTATAACTGAAACATTTGATAATCAAATCGTTAAACATGTGATATTACCTTGATAAGACTATATTGATTCATTTAACTAAAATAACAAATAGAATAAAACCTTAAAAAAACGAATTTACTTGGTCCTGTATTATTAAATTTTGCCCAATTTTTATTTTCATATCATATGCTAAATACATATAATGACTTTCTTTGTGCTAAATTTTCGTGAGACGTTTTAAAAGTGCATTTAATAGTGATTAAATCCACTTCTAAAACCTTGTAAGAAAACTTAGTAGAAAACTTTTCGAAACGTGTCTCATCAGAAAATACAATATAAAAATATGTATACAAATACAATTGCATACATTATTATAGCGATCAACATCTCTTGGGAAATTGTCTGTTCATTGGTCAGCATTAAAGTTGCCAATATGTTTTAGCTAAAACGTTATATTAGCATATTATACAGTAATAAAAATACGAAAATCATCCGTCTCATTAAAGGTTACGCTAAAAGAGATGCATTATAAGGAATTTTACAAGATAAATGTTTAAAAGGATAATAAAAAAGTAAAACAAAGGCAAAGGATTAATTATGCCTAAATTTCAGCCCACCACGTCGTTCATAACAATTAAAGGAACAAAAGAGTGAGATTTTGTTTACAGCTCCCCGACTAAGTTAGAATTAACGTGACGCTAAAGATTACGCTGTTATATCGAATTGGATAACCTACACACATATGGATGTATTAACTTTAACATTAAATGTAAATATAGTATACACTAATTCGTAATAAACCAATATAAGGCGAAATAAAATAAAGAAGCTCTAAAGAATAATCAATAATTGACACGTAACAAATAAATCTTAAGCGAAAACATAACACAAAATGAAAAGAAAAAGTAAAAGAACATTTAAATTACATAAAACACACAAATCTTACCTGAATCACGTTCTGTCGGCTTTATCGTGATGAACAGTGAGTACAAAGAAGTGCACTATTGTATAACACTATAGCACAATCACATCTGAATGGGTATAGAACTTGCGAGTTTTTGCCCCAGTTTGTTTATTGTAGTCACAACCTCATGGGAAATTATCCAGGGCGAGTTACCAACGCCAGACAATCTCTCAACGTTTGTAATGTAAATACAACCAACACTACAACAGGTAACTAGCATGTGTACATAAAATACTTAATTTTCACTATTATCTGTTTTTACATAAAATAATTTTCCTTTCCTAGGAGTTAATCACAACATACAGAAGTATTACAACCAGGTTTTTATAAGTCTTTCAATGATCGAATCGAACGCACGCATTCTTGCATTCCTTTATTTTATCACAACCATTTTTGCCCATCCGAAGATAGTTCAAAAGTTATCGGTGAGACACGGCTACATCGTTTTCACGTAAGTTTTATACACTAAACTTATTTAAGCATTATTCACAACACTGAAGAGGTAAACATTGATTACATCCAAAGATTTTACATTCTGTTAACTTTTCACGTCTTTCAAAAAGTTTTAAATTCCATATCAATTCGCGGTTACATCGTAAAGTGAGCACGATTAAGAAGTACGAACATATTCTATATATGGTTTATTCGATCCATTTTGGCACAGTCAAGTTTGATGGTCTTCATGTTAAACACGTGGAGTTTGACACCATTACGCGGTACGCGCGTTTTTCACTAAAAGTTTTAAACTGTCCACTGAACACACGCCGCGACCAATTGTGCATTTATAAATAGTTATATGTATTCATGACGAAGTGTTTCACTAATACGCGGTGCCGTTGTTGTAAGGAGGACAGTGGTGAATGTCAGGTGATGTCGGAGATGTCAGTGAAACTGTGTTTTCGGTTTTCCAATGCGACGTGTGTTCCTCGTACTGTTTGTGCTCCGTTACTAGAGGCACGCGTTCTACTGCAAGTACTGAAAGGCGAAACCTGTTGAAATAGGACAGGGGACTGTGTGCGAGGGAGACGACAAGCTGTCTCTCGACCTCGTGCCGAGTTTCAGGCGCTTATTTTGCTCAGTGTACGCGTGTGCGTGAAAATTCGCATGCTTACGACTAACGAATCGGTGTTAGTGAGTTGTGGAAAACTCTCTTTAGGGTGCCTTCACACATACGAGGATTTTCATGATCACAAACAGATCTTTGTGCGTATTTTTTATTGAATATCTCGTACTGTAAATAATATTTTTCTATACTGATATTTTTTTCTCCAGTTGTCTGTCGTGGTATTGTTTTATATATGTATGTATGTATAAAAATAATGTATTCAATGTAAAACAAATTACATTGAATCTGTTTTAAGTTTTTAATTTTCTAGGAATTCTTTCTTTGTAGGAGACTTGAACATTAATTGATAAGAGAATCAGTAAATATAGCATATGTCTTTATAAATTTCTTTAATTAAATAATACAATTAAGAGTAGAATAGAAATACATCAGTCGAAATTATTTCTTGGAAGCGGAGGTGTCGTTGTAAGAATTAATCAATTTAAAGTGGCATCAAGTCTAATATAAACAACGGGCCACACAGACGCGTGGCATAATCAAATAGCACGCAACTTTTGTAGGCTGTGTAGGTCGGGAGGCGAGACACGAGAGCGGCAGCCGCCCCAGAGCGGGCGAGATGACAACAGGCAGCATGGCTGCGCACGCAGCGCTCAATACACCCTACAGCCTCCACACTCACACCCCAAATCAAATCTATGCCAAACTGGGCGACCGCCTCTGACAGCTCGCTCCAATGTAGCGATGTACCCTTCATTATATCGGGAATCAATTGACAAATGGGCACCGTGCGTTTGTGGTCGCGCACGCACTAACACACGCACGCCTTGCACTCGTTTACGTCAAAAGTCCTTTGTTTATCTTTTTAAAAGCCTCCTAATGGAGAGACGTCGTGCCCGAAAATCCTGAAGGACGCTTGCTTTGACGACCGTAAATAACCAAGTTTTTTCATAAATAAATTGAATATTTTACCTCTAGAATCTCCTTCATAACTAGGCCCAAATACCTATAAAAAATTTCGTCATGGTCGTCGCTATTATTTTTGTGTCCGAGCAGAGGAAAACTTAAAATTAGTTTTTAAGTTACCACAGGTGATAAAAATAGTCGACAGTACTTAAGTAATTTATTGATAAGAACATTTGAGGTACATAATGGAGTTAATAACTTTCAGTTTAACTTTCAAAGTTTTAAATACTTTAGAGCTTTGCTATATGTTTAGGCCATCTAACCGAGAATTTAATTCAATGTAATTTGTTTACATTTTCAAATGTTTATAGTCATCTCTCTCTCTTTTTCTCTCTCAATTTAAAAGCCAAGCCCTTGTCGGTGAAGCAATCGCCACTCCTCTCTATTTCATGCCATCTGTTTGACCTCTTGATAGGCCACGACTTACATTTTCTCCTTCACTTGCTGTGTGTATGTTGATCTAGGTCGTCCCCGTTTTCTCTTGCCTTCTATTTTTCCTTACAGTATTATTCTGAAGAAGTTGTCATGTCTTATCAAGTGGCCAACCATTTTGCCTCTTCTGTTTTCAATGGCATTCAACAATTGCCTCTTTTTGCTCACCATTAGTATACTCGTATTATGTCTTGATGAGCTGTTTTCTTATTTTGGTGTTGATCTTGCCCTTGAACAGGTGTTTCTTGGGATTGAAGGCTTGTTTTGAGACTGCGAGTCTCTCTGGGGAACATCTAGAATCTTGCGTTATTCGGCTAAGTACCTAAATATTTGAAGCATTCTACTTGTTCTATTAGAAATTCATTAATTTTAATATGAGTAGTTGAAGTTGAGCGGCATGGGCACAGGATAATTATAAAGTAATAATAATTATTATTTTAACAACTGTTTACTATAAGCTTTTGCTAGAATTTCTCAAGATTAGTAGATACATATTTCTGTCTTTTCTTCAGTACTCCTGGTGACAGTTGTATAACATTTTAATCCGTGAAAGATACAGGAACAGACATGCAATATCAATTTTGCATTTATAAGAAAATATACTAATTGAACCTATAATTTTTTTTTAAAGAAACCATAAGATGTACTAAAACGAAAATTAAAGAAAAAAAGCTTTAACAATGACCTCTTTGTTTGTAATTGTTATCAAAATTAAATATATAACATAAGCACCGTTCAAGGTAAGTAACTAAGGTTCAAGGTTCTCTTCTCGTGTCAATGGCAATACACTATACGGTTTTAGCCTAAAGCTCGGCGACGCGAATGGCGTTTGGCCGTGCTTGACACAGGTCGTCAAGCGTACATGATTCTGGCTCGCGGGATATGTTGGCAAATGACTCAGTATCTGTAGAGACGCGCCAGTCGCATTTATTAGTGCTTGGGTCGATAAATCCCACCTTAACATACGAGTATTATCCTTGGTTTTGCCAACCTCGCTACGCAGCATTTTGAGCGCCTTCCAGATTGTCCAGGGGAGTATATCTCTTGGAGGTAATTTTTCTGCCAAGGAGATGTAAGTTGACAGAGGGAACTTATTACGACATATGTTTTCTCTGGCCTTGGGAGCATTGTAATTGTCGGCAGGGATTGTGTTGAGGAAACTGTTTCGACTTTTCAGCCTTTTCGTGATTTGATTTTGAAAGTAACTGACGTCACACTTCCATGAACTATTCCTATATAAATGAAATAATGAAAGTAGTTCCGTTAGTACTTGAAGTAACCAAAAACTAACAAATCGATTTTTCTATTTATCAGAGCAACTAAAAACTACATCACTTAATAAAAATAATTTGATCGATTTAAATTAGATTCTAATGGATTATAACAGAAGATTAGATAGTTAGTATTAAGAAATAACGTAAAGAATCGTATTATCTGAACACAACAAGAAAATAAACACTTAACCTAACAACATGCAAACACGTGCACGAACAATGCGTCTTATAAAAATGAGATGCATTGCGTGTGTTCGGTCATTCTCGCTCGAGCCGTCGAGCTGTACGGATCTATGTACAGCTGTTGGTGAGATCTTGGAATACATATTTAACTGTATTTACTGTTGTTGTTATTTATTACAGCTTTTATAAAGGAACACCACAAAAATCTAAAGAATGACTTCAGATTAGCTGACGTCACTCTATTTAAAAACAGCACAGACATGGGTCCTCCGGCATATTTAATATCATTAGAATGTCTTTACAATATAACTTTAGGTTTACAATTATCTCTCCATGCATAATACAAGATAGAAACCGGTTCTGTCAGTAAATATAGGTAAAGTCAATGACATTCATCGTTCAGGTACACATTAAAAAAGTATATTAAATTATCTAGTACAAAACATTATCTATACGTATATTAGCGTGTCCCTTATTGTTCAAAGTTTTAAATTTCGAACGCATAGGTCTTAGAACACTCGGCAAAAAAGTTGTACCTTATTTGGAGTACGAAAACCCGTGCCGATTTGCATCGAATCATGTTCATACATGTTGCGTGGCAGTAGCGGTGCGTATTTGCGATATTTGTGATTTGTTCTTAACTATTCTTGCGATTAACATGTATTGTTTTACATTTACAAAGTGGCAGTGAAATTAAGAAGCACTTAAAAAAAGTATTTTCTTATGACGTAACTTATCACATAACAGGCGCAAAGTTACCGTCTAATCGTCAAGTTCTTGCAGTACTTTTTATTTCATTCGCGAAATAAAATTGACTGTTAGTAAAGCGCTAATCGCGTCATTCGCTAGGATCCCTATTAGGGCTATTTCTGAGTAAAAAACTTGTGGATCTTCACCATGCTTGGCGGGAAATGCAAAAAAAACAAGCGCCGTGAGGAGGACTTTAAAATAATTTAGATAATTTATTGCATATAGCAAACGCTGATGCTTTACACCAGTTGAAAAGTAAAGATAAAATATTTTTATCTATCTATAAAATCAAATTTTCGGCAAATATGCTTGAAATGGGGACCGTTCACTGGGATAGGAAATTATTACCTGGACTTGTAGTGAGGAGTTTTAAAAAAGAACGCCTGTACCCAAACTGGAGAGCTCTGCCGGCCAGGATCAAGCTAACGCTGTGTTGAACTCACTTTATGACTAAAACCTTGATGACAAAGTATGTGCACTTGCACATTATTTGTACATTGTCATCGCACTGCACACACAAACAGCGTCTAATACAGGGCGATTAAAAGGTCCGACATGCCACCGTCCGACATGCCACCGATAGGTGGTATCCGAGGGGATTTCCGCACGGAACAAAAAAAAAAGGGCGATTAAAAGGAGATTGTGTACTTTTTGAACAAAAACTAGACGGCGAATTACTACTCTTTGCTTGCCGCCATCCCGTTAACGAACTGGTTTTAAAATGTGTGTTCGAAACCAAAATCCACTAAGTCACAAGTGACCTTAATATTCCATTGTTCAAAAATGTTAGAGATAACTAGAAAACTATTAATCCTGCTGCCATTACACCGACATATACGCCGAATCGTCACACGACATTTTTGTAATAAAACAGTAGAAGATTTGTTGACATTTTATAATCAAGAACTGCAAAAAACCATTATACGTGACGATTATCCGGAAGTATAAGTATCTATTATTTTCTTAGGAGGAGATAGTGAAAACAATTAGACCTCCTGGAGCGATGCATCAAGCAAGGAGGATGGCTAGAGCCATTTACTCTTTAAAGATATGTTTATTACAATCCCAGTTACAAATTAGCGCCAAGGATAAACGAGCACTTCAAGACGTCTGTTTATTCATTGCGATTCTATATGTGATAACAGGGTTCGGATGTAGTCTGGCGGTGAAGTCAAGTCAAGATTTGTGCTTTTTAGAGAGGCTTAAGGAATATGAAACTGTTGACATATTGCTGTTGACATGGTGCTTCGAGGAGCATTTCGAGGGGATGTGTGGCGGGCTCCCTACAGCGGCTGTTGACTAATTAGAGGATCTGCGGGAGGAAGTTCGGTGCCTCTATTCTGCGGTTATCCAATCCATGGCCCCTCTGCGGAGCGCTGATATGGGCCAAGCGCCGATCGGCCTCCTCCTGCTGCTGGGCTAAGCTCAATCAAGCGCAGCGAGTAGCGGCCATTCGGATCGTACGGGGATACCGCACCATCTCGTCGGAGGCGGCGACAGTCCTGGCACGTTTCCCGCCTTTTGATATCCTGGCAGATATGGACGCGAGGGTCTATGACCAGACTCACGCGATCCGTCGGTTTGAGAGCGGAGAAGACCAGAACGAGCTTGAAATGCGGTGGAACGCTCACCGACAGGCAGTAGTGCAGTGGCACGCGCGGCTGCAACAGCCGCGGAATGCGCGCCAACGCGCTGTCGGTGCCGTTCTGCCTGACTTCGAAGCTTGGGTAAGTAGAAAGGGAAACCGCGTTACCTACCGAATGACTCAGTTACTCAATAGGCATGGCTTCTTCGGTGAGCTGTATCGAATAGGACTCAAAAATACGGCATAATGCCAACACTTCGCAGCCGGCAGGGACTCCGCCTAGCACACGCTAAAAGATTGCCCCGCGTGGGTGACTGATCGCGAAGTACTGGTCGACCAAATCGGATAAGACCTGTGGGGACAGGTCTCAGAAAATGATTGCGGGCGGGGGCCCGCAATCATTTTTGCCATGATGGAGGGTGGGGAGGGCTGGGGCAGGCTGCCTGAGAGTGGGGACCTTTGGCAGCAGGGGACCTGAAATAACTTGGTCCGGGTCCTTCTCGGAGTAGAACGCCTGAGACCAACCGTCGGGGTGGTTTTAAGTGGCAACACCACATACTCCTGAGT